ATTGATGTATTGTTTACTTTAAAAAAAACTATCTTAATTTTTCATGTTATTGAAATTAAACCACCATCGCAATTTTGTAGACAGCAACATCAACAATCTTTAGCTCATGCAGTCTATTTTAGCTAGGTTAGCATCGATTGGTTGGCGAGAATTGATGGTTAACACCTATGTTTAACATATACATTCAATATGTCAGCTACTATGCACACCTCTGCTTTTCTCATAGATTTTTTTGTTATGGATTTTTAGTCATTGTTTATTTTTTGTTATCCTCATCTATTAGTAGACAAAAGAATTAGTAACTGCCACAAGCTTTCCTGATTTTTACCTTTGGCTTGTTGAAAATGCTGGGTTGTTTTAACCCTATTTTGGGTCAAATATGGGCAAACTCAAACATTGGGTTAAAATGTAACTTAAAAATGTAACGCAATAGCTGGGTTTGTCCATATTTGACACAAAATTGGGTTAAAACAACCCAGCATTTTTTAGAGTGTAGCTGGCCCATTACATTTATTTACTAATTAGCTTATAAAAGAGAGTTTAGTGCAGAACAACCCATTATGTTGTTTACCAGTTGGGAGAATAGGACAAAAAAAGGTATTGCTTATTGTATAGTTTTCTTTAATTTTATGTTTAAATATGCTAATCAGGCTATATCCAATTGTGCTAATGTGCATATATTTTGAAGCGACGAATCTGACCATTGAAAAAAAACCAAGGTTCAAAATTATGTTTGCATTTTGTTGATATTTTCAATGAAAATATATTACCAGAGGGGATTATGAATATTCTGAATGTACTGCCTATAGCCTTAAAAAATTGATTTCTGCCCTATTTTTAGGCCTAAAATGTCATATCAGGCCAAGAATGATATATCAACAAATCCCTCTGGACAAACCTTCACAATGTAGGAATAAGACTTAGTATGTAGGTGCTACAAAAGTGGAAAACCGTCCCTGGGAGTGTGAGAAACTCATTTTGAGAAACATCAACACATTCTCATCCCAAGGCGTCATCTAACTGACCATTTTGACCATGCTTCAATATACGACGCTTTAGGCACCCTTTAGCGTCAGTTACATGACGCGATCCTAGGGCAAACCACAGTGAATACAGTTACACAAGTAGTGTAACTCGACCTGATGGTGACACAAAATAAAACGTTGTGCTTTTCTAACCGTCGAGTTACACTACTCATGTAACTGTATTTAAATAGGGCAAACGTGGAGGTGTTTGGTCGCTTCTCTGCTTGTATCCCATTGAATGAACTGGGCTAGTTAAGTGCGATCAAAGTGTCTCGCGCACCAGAGTGATTGAGTGCACGCACTGAGATGACAGAGGTATGCATCAACTCGTCTTATTGAAGGGAATAACATAATATGAAAAAAAAACAAAAACGGTGGAGCATCCCTTTAACAACTTGAATTTATGCCAGGCAGACGAGCTAGTTGTAAAGTAGCTTCCTCAATACAATTGCACTGAATCTTGATTGATTTGATCTTCCTCCCATGATCATGTTAGTGACATCTAAAAGGATTTTTCAGTTATTTTAATTACAGCCATGCACAGAGAAGCACACAAGTGAAAAACATAATCAAGCTGCGGCAAAACAAATGAGTACATGGGTTGGGATATCTCAAATGATTATGCAATTAAAGATCCTGGGAATTATAACCAGCTTGCACGTAAGACAAACATGCCTCTCGCCTCGCAAGCGGCAATTTCGCATTTCAGCGCTGTGCTCTCATTTAAAGCTAATTTACCAAATTAGTCGGTAATGTCTCTTATTCATTGCATTGCTCTCAGCTCATATAACAGCAGTGTAGCGCTGGTGCACCTTTAGCAACCCTCATTTAATGTCAGATTCATTCTGCATGGCACTCTCTGCATTCATGAGTGATTTCAGGGGGATACTGTTGTGGAACAGTTATAGGAGAGAAAGAGAGAGGATCTGCACCATTGCACAAATACACGAGTGTCACTTTTTGATGTATTTAACCAGAGATCAGATGTGTAGAGTTTGCTTATTTCTAAGTCTGAATTTTGAGCAGAAACAGCCTTAACTTGTCAGTTGCCGAGTTGACACTGCAAAGGTGACACATAAATGCTTCTGAAGTGGCATTTAAGCGTCTTCGCACAGACTGTGTAATGCTGCTCAGAGGTGGCATAAAGGCATTTACACAGCAATTGCAACTTTGATATTAGGAGATGAGTTGGATCAGAGCAAGCACAATTTATGCTGGCTTTTATGTGGCATTGCATCTTTACACTGAATTTTGAGCAGAAACGGCGTGCCTTAACTTGTCTGCTGCCAAATTTACACTGCAAAGAAGTAGCTACTTATGAAATGGCATTTTAAAGTGCTGTAAAGGTAGTCTTGAAAAAAAAAATAGTTAGCTGTAAGCAATACAAAACTACAGTGAAGCCCCCTATGGAAGAAATCAGTTAAATAAATTAATAAATTTCACCTTGGTTAATTGTCTCTTTTTGGAATGAAATGAGCTGCTCTCACTCTACAGAAAAATGTATTTAACTTAAGAGCATAACTACTTTAGAGTGTTGACGCTTTTCTTGGAGATCTAATTTTAACATTTTTCTGAATTTCCTCATTTAAAGGCTAGTCGCCGTCAGCTTTATTAGCAGGTGGCCTTGGTTAACCCAAAAGGTCAGGGTATAGCTCGACTGAAACGCAAATGAAGAGACTTTACCGTTAATTAGAGCAACCGAAGTGTTTGGCACCTGGCTCTATTATTCCTCTCACACTGTCGAAAAACTGAGATATGATATCTGAGGATCTTTCAACAGCAATCATAATGATTGAATGACACTGATGAGTCTTGGCTGTGGAGATAATTAAATTCAAACTAGATGTTAAGTTGAGTATTTTTTAGTTGAAAAGAAGCCTTCATAATGAACTGCCGTGTTTGGTCAGCCTTTCTGCTGAGAGTCTTGTTGGAACAGATGTTCGTTCTCACTGTCATTAAAATCTTAATTTCAAAACTAAGTGAAACTATCAGGAGATGCGTACTTAAAGTAACACAAAGCCTATAAAGATCATTCTAAAAAGTGTTGTGAATCTCTGAGTCAGATTGTAAAGCAATCTCAGCTCTCGCCTTGGGCAGTACAGCGACTTCAGTCGTATTAGATGCTCATCACATTCTCTAAAGAGTCGGAGCTGATTGATGGGGCTCATAAATAGAATTGGGTGTTGGGGTTTATTTGTTATCCTTGTCCCGTTCCAGGTGTCTTTTTGCTTTTATGTTATGAGAGAGGTGACATTTCAGAGCTACAGTAGAAATAGTGGCTCGTTGCACACATGATCTGTCACAAAATCTAGTAAGCTGCCTATGAAGGCAGCTTTTTAAGGTATTATATGCATGCTCCAATTTTGGCTCATTTCCAATGCAACTTAGCTTATATCTTTCACAGTGACAAAAACATAAGAATGCATTGCATCAAGCTCAGTGCAGTGTTATTTTAGTATTATTTATATACTATTATAGTATTTATTAATATTTTGAATTTTAATTAGGTTTTATTTTTCTATTTAGTATTCATTTTAATTTTATTAATTGAATGTTGCTTTGTCATTTTTATCTTTTATTACACATTTATTATACATTATTACATATATTAGTTGATATTTAAAAATCAACTAATACATGTAATAAGTGTGTGTGTGTGTGTGTGTATATATATATATATATATATATATATATATATATATATATATATATATATATGCATAGATTTCTATTTTTTGTCTACTTTTTTAATTCTATTACACATTTATTATACATACACATACACATATACACATATTTATATTATTTATATATATTTTTTTGTCTACCTTTTTTTAAGTGTAATTTACTGGAAGCTTGTTTCCACCACGGAATAAAAAAAAAGAAGAAGATAATTGTGACTTTTTATCTCACAATAATTGTTTACTTCCAGCAAGTGCAAGAAAAAAAAAGTCAGAATTGCAAGATATAAATTTGAAAATTGCCAGAATTAGTCAGATTAAAGTCTTTTGGCTTTAATTATACCAAAAATTATCTTTAATAGTTTTAGATTTGGTTTTAATTTTAGCTAACAAAAGTGTATGGTATAAAATCATAAGTAAACTTGATACCATCAGAAAAAGCAGACTTTAGGTAGTGGTTTGTAGTAAGTGTGCAATCAAAACAACAACTCTAATATGGAAATGCTATGCTATCTTTTAATAGTAGCACATAAAAAAAACATCAACATGCAAAAGCCTCCTTTAAAAATGGGTATGATCTATTTGCACATTTGTGCAATTACAATACCTCATCTTAGCAAAACATGGCCTTTGAGAATATTTTTGTACAAAAATTGAGCCTTGAATTAAATCTGGACTGAATGCTGACTATTAGCTGAAAATGTGAAGAAAAAACATGACATTTGAAATGTTGTGCTATCTTTTTTATCCAATAATTTACTCACAAGCAAATAAAGAGATCAGACATATTGCCCTCAAGAGGCTGTGTGTGGGGGGGTTAGTGCTGGTTTGGACTTGGTTCATGGTCAGGTCATACCAGGAGCAGCTCTGTATTTATTCTCTTTCTGTGTTACCTTTGGACCAGCCTGATTTATAAAACTAGAAGTCGACTTTTAAACCTCCATTTAAGTGTCTGCAGTGCTGTTTATTGATTTATTGGAATGTTATGTGTCACAGGAAATGACATTCACACCGGTAATGTGGCATCTGAGAAAACTAGATGATGTTCTCACTCGAAATCACATGTAGTCATAAGTTATACAAGATCCAACTCATTTTTGTTAAGTCAGTTTAATGTAATTTAAGTTGAAATTACTTTAACATCCAAGTGGATTGTGCTATAAAAATGTAAGGCTGCAACTTATTTTAAAAATATATTTCAATGACTGATGTTGACACTTAGTGAACAAATTTACTGGGAAAAGAAACAAATCAAGTCGTTATCAACCACACTTTCTCTCCCTTTGTTTCTCAGAGGTCTATCAGCTAAGCCTTCCCGAAGATCAAAAGCTGAGCGTCACCACGGTAACGGTGGGTCAGAGCGCTGTTCTCACGTGTGCCATCACTGGAGACCAGCTGCCGCCAATCATCTGGAGACGCAACAACCATGCCCTCAACATGCTAGAGCTGAAGGACATTAACGTGAGTGACATGCGCCTTTACCCTGATTTTGTCTCCGTCACACGTTTACTCGTGTGTGTGTGTGTGTGTGTGTGTGTGTGTGTGTGAGCCATCTGGAAAGTGTTGCAATCATCTACCTTTTAAAGCTGATGAAAAGTGAGCGGCAGCATTTTCAAGCCAATAAATTGCTTGACACACAAGTGCAAACGTACATTCAACAGCGAGCTTGTTTCTAAAATGATACAACATGGTGTGAGATCATTCTATGTTCAATCTAATCTACTTTGTCTTTCTCATTGTGCTTTCTGCTCAGTTAAGCTTTTAACGTAATGGAGTTTGGAGTGAAACATTCAACAAAGCCAGGCCATGTGGGATTTCACAAAAGAAACCTATAAATAACACTAAAAGAGCTCAAATTAAAGTCTCCAAATAAAGTTTTCAGATGTTCCACAGTTGTTCCACGCTCCAGCTTTAATATATATTTATTACAGCAACTTTAACCAACCCAAGATGATGAAATATGGCCCCATGATACCAAATTGAGATATGAGTGATGTTTTAAATGTTCGCACAGAAACGCAACATCACTCAACGCGGCTACAACTCAATAGAAAGCACATTAGTGTAAATGAGAATTGAGAGAGAAAATACTCAAGAGAAACTAAATGGGTTTGGCAATTTGTTATGATGCTTGGTTGATTAAGCCAATATGAAATGAAGTCATTTAAGAAAAAATAGTTAACAAAAGAATTTAGCAGATGTACTTAAATAAATGAAAGCAGTATAGAGAATACGGTATTTCTCTAGTGGGATGTGCTGTGTCTAAAATAAATGAGTACAAATTCATTAAACGCAGTGTTAAATATTTATGCACACTGAAATAATACATTTTTGTGTATTTTTACATAAAAAAATAAAATAATAATCATATTTTCTAGGATAAACTGTAGTGTGTTGGGAATACAACCCTTACAAATATATATATATATATATATATATATATATTACGGCTATAAAACGATTAATTGCGATTAATCGCATCCAAAATAAAAGTTTGTGTTTACATAATATATATGGGTGCACTGTGTATAATTATTTTATATATATAAATACACACACATGCTTGTATATATTTAAGAAATATTTTCATGTACATACTGTATAGATTTATATATAATTTATATTATATAAAAATATTAATATTTTATATATATTTTTTATATATATTATATTTTTTCTTAAATATACATGCATGTGTGTGTATTTGTATATATATATATATATATACACACACAAAATAATGTGATTAATCGCGATTAATCGTTTGACAGCCCTATATATATATATATATATATATATATATATTAAAGAAAAATATACAATAAATTTTAAAGAAAAGAAAAAAAAAACGTTTCTCTGCCAGACTGCACATATATTTATGTAGAAGAAAGCTTTTCATGCTTCTGTATGTTACACTGTATTTTTATTTCTATTACTGGGTATATATTTGACCAGTCAAAAGCCTGTTCACTGGTGTATTTATTCAATTGAGTCAACACTAGCCTCTCTGTCATCCTCGATTCATTAAATGTTTATGAGGCCTTTAAATGAGGAGGGAGTCCGTGGCTGCCAAGATCCATCTCTAGAACCTTCGCCCTGCAGTCCCTTCCACAATATCAGCCAGACGGGGACATACACACTCTCACAAGACGGTAGCATCTATATGAATAATCTACAGACTCAGAGGAAAGCTTGTTTAAATGTCAGCAGCTCTACAGACAATCCTTTAGGACAGCAAAGCTGGCTGACCTACACCAGAACATTCACACACCCGTTGGGGCGTCCTGCTTTCCCAGAGCAATTAATGTCATCATGTCAGTCACAACCGTCCCACGCGAAGCTATGGTGTATGGTCTATGTTTTATATTTTCTTTGCATTTCTTTCTTTCTCCTGTCTACTTTTTAGTCTTCTATCAGATAGAACCTCATTTATCCAAGTTTAGTTGGAGCTATTGTTAAGTTCAGTGAATTTTTATTTTCATTGCACTACTTTTTAGTCTGCCTTCAGAGACCCTCATCTATTTTAGAGTTGTTTGGTTTTTGTTTTGTTTCAATCTGTTTCGTTTAGTTTTGGTCTTCTGTAACCCCATTATCCAAATATAGTTGGGGTTATATTGTTGAGTTCAGTTCATTTTATTTTTATAAATATTTTATTTTATGCATTTCTTTCTTTCTTAGTCTGCCATCAGATAGAACCTCATTAATGCAAGTATAGTTAGAGGTAATATCGTTAAGATCAGTGAATCTCTTTCTCAAGTTAGGAAGCATCTAGTGCACGTTACTGTGATAAAATGAAGGCTCTTGCTGAGTGTTGCATCATGGGATGCTACTAAGATCACCACATGACCATTATAAAGCGGCTCTCTGAATGCATAAAACAAAAGAAGAGGATTTAAAGACTAAAGTAGAAACTGTGGGTAAAACTTTACTAAGGATTAGCAAGAAGAACCGTTTGAACTAGCATATGGTCTCACACTGTTGAATAGTGTATAATGGCCTATAAATGTGAATGATCAAATTAAAAAAGTAGATGTCTAATCATTAAAAAGTGACAGCTGTTTCCTGCAAAAGAAATCTGATAACCAAAATAAATCGCTGCATGTTGAATTTCTCTTTTGCACCTAATATGATTCTTGAAACTGAAATGTTGTTTCAATTGATCAGATCCCCTCTCAGGTAGGTTCATATTTTTGGGTTTGCATGCCTACAAGCTGCTAGAGTCTGAAAACCCTAAAGCTAATGAGTTCTAACACCACAATTAACCCTTGGCGACTCACAAATCTGAAGACTAGGTTACGGTGCCTGCACTATTGAGCTGGTTCAGAGTCAAGGGAAATGAAGGAGCTGATGGTTTGCACTCTTCAATGCTTCTTCAAGACATCCTATTTCTCTGTTCATTTACCATGAGCTTTATGATGGCATATGCTAGACTTATATTTTGCAGTGGTTTGCTCTATGTCATATCCCTTATAATATGCTGTACATCAATGTTGGGGAAATGCTTTAGCTTTCCAATCTTCAAGCTACCAGTCAAGCATTAGAAAAAATTAGTTACAATACAAGTTGCTAACAAAATTTATCAATGAATAGATTTTTGTATTAAACTGATAGATACAGTTAGAATCAGTCAGGGAATCAAATATATCATCTGAATGAATTCCCATAAATGAATCACACTTCTCAACAGAACTTAAGAGAGAGAGAGTATGGGTTTGATTATTGCCTCAGTTTGTCAGGTTTTAAAGCTGTATGCACAATATAATGTCGCATAAAACCAGCAAGGTACCATCATGCTGGCACTCATTGTAAAAGTAGATCATTAAGTAGAAAACTGAGCTAAGTTAACAGCATCAGTGCTGTTAGTTAAATTCTCCACAATTCTCGTGTACACATTAGAGATGCGCGGATGGGCTATTATTTCATACACAATGGCATCACAAAACTCATCATCCATCCGCACCAATGTTTTTGAACAATTTTCAAAACCGCACCTGCCCGTCATCTGCTGATTGGGCGATACAAGGCGCTGCTAATGACAGCCGCGAGACTAGAAAGCTCTCAGAATATCAGCAGTGAACGCCGTCTCCAATCGACGCACAGGGACAAAAATAAATAAATGGCCTAAATTAACGGAGGAAACTTGTCAAGGTGTTCGTGGAATTTGAGGTTTGAGGTTTAGCAGCACACTTGTGATGCAGCATATTAGACGTACCCATCTTGTGGCTGTCATGAACATAAACTGCTTTGCCAGTTTTGCAAATTACAGAGCCTGCACTGTCATCCTGATAAAAGTTATTCCAGGCAACACTTTTCAGACCTTCTATTTCCTTTGTTTTTAATTCTTCTTTTTTGAGTCTGTCACGGACCTTCTTCGACGGCGTTGCCATCTCTAATAATAACAAGCAGTCTTTGCATAGACTTGACTTGCTGCCTGATGAAAATCTGACTATTTCAAAGTGTGCTCGATTATATTTTTTTTGGATGTAGTTATAGTCACATAACAATATTTAACAATGTATACATATATTTTTCATTTGATTGGTTCTAACGCCCGCCACCCACCCGGATTTAATTAAAAAACAATTTTCATCACGTCATCCGCCCGATACGCGGTTTATCCGCGGCTGTAACCGCCAACTGCTCATCTCTAGTACACATTAATTGTGGGTTTGTGTGCATACATGTGAGTGTCCACGTATATTCAACTTACTGCATGATTCTGGTTTGATCTGGATTCTGCAGCCTAATCAAATCAAAATTTACATATTTAATCAGAACCATCTGAATCGTCCTTGAAGGAACACTTTCATGTTCCTGAGCGTCAGGGTGACAGAAAAAGGCCAATGAACCTTGTAAAAACAGTGGCGTGAATTTATTAGCTTCATGGGGTTTTGTTTGGACATCCATGGCGTTTCTCTTCAGCCTTTGTTTTGTTTTATCTCTGATGCTGCTTGTTGCTGATTCTTCTTTTTTCTATTCTTATCATTAGACTTTCAAATGACTTGGTACGATCTGATTTCGTTTCATATTCAGAGGCTCCCCTGTTTTGCCTCTTTATAAAGCACTTTTTACTGTACTGCGGTTTTCTCCCATTAAGAGCATGTTGTGGTGAAAAGCTCTTGTTTATTTGTTGATTTTGCACAATCAAGGTCGTGGGCTGTAGTGAGCAGTTTTGCATCCTTATTAGTGCATATTAACACAGCTAAACTGACGTTCTTTCATTGATTGTTCCATTCCAGGTATGTCCAAAGGCCAGTTACAGCCCACAGCTTGTCTATTAACATATATTGTATATGTGGCCGGTTACTGTGGTAACACTAACTGAAATCATGAGATTGTAGCAGAAATGTGGGATATTCATATAAAAATTGATTATATTGACATTTATTATATTGACACACTGAGATGTAGGCTATTAAAGGAGGAATGATATAGGCCAAAATACATGACTTTTTGTTATAAGCTAGTAGTTTTGAGCATTTCTGATAAAGCCACTCCATAGAAATATTATAGTTAGTTTTTTGGTGCCACTGGTGTCAAATATTAGTTTGAACTCTATAAATAATGAAGGAGAAGTATCCGGCCCCCAGGTGTGTCTACAACATCAAATCTAACCCCCTTGCACACCCCTTTTCTGTTAGACCTATGTGGGTATGTAGATTAAATGTCTGTTAATGCTATCTGACTTGATAATGTAGTCTTTAAATTATCTTCATTTCAATTTCATCTGTTTATCATGTAACTCTTTCAACAGTTGACAGCCCTAATTATTTTTACATTTTTGTGGAGTTTAGATGCATGTTCTATTCTATGCCTTCTGCATAAATACTTTCTTTTTTTTCTTTTTTGGTCAATTCTTTTGTCATTTATAAAGAGTATATATATATATATATATATATATATATATATATATAACTTTCTTTTGTGGGTAACACTTTATTTTACGACCCGCAAACAACTGTGTAGTACACCGAAATTACGGTGTACGTTTCTGTAATTATAGTGTACTTCCGTGTAAGTATAAGGGAACAATATGTTAAGTTTGGGGTAATAAAGGGGTAACAAGCAGATATACAACCTGCAAATAACTTCGTAAGTGTACTGAAATTACGGTGTATATTCTGTAATTATGGTGTACTTCAGTGTTGGTATAAGGGAACAATATGTTAAGTTTGGGGTAATAAGGGGGTAACAAGCAGATGTACAAGCAAATTATTTAATTAGTTTAAAAATAAAAGGTACCTATATTCTGTTAATATATTCCAGGCAAAGTTTGTACGTCTGTTTTTTATAAAATGTATCACATTTCTGGCAAAACATGTTCAGGATAATTTTGACATCTGTTGAAAATTAAACATATATATATATATATATATATATATATATATATATAAATGTATTGGCTTTTCTTACTAGATTACTAGAAAAGTCAAAATAATTTGTTTCTGCTATGATTTTAATTTAGACCGTAACATGTGGTAATTAGTACTTACCTTATTCCATTGAATTGCAATAACAATTAAATGTCAGGACAAATATACTGTGTAATTAAAACGTTTTTTTTGTTTGTTTTTTTTTTCTTGATAACAGTACCTTTCTCTGTAATTACATTGCAAAAAGTGTTTCGTTTTACTACATAGTAAGTAGCATTTGTTACCCCCTTGTTCTGCGTAGTTACAGGGCAAGTGTAACTCCTGCGGGCTGTAAATTAAAGTGGTGCTTGTTACCCCTTTATTACCCCAAACTTAAAATATTGTTCCCTTATACTTAGACGGAAGTACACTATAATTACAGAAACGTACACCGTAATTTCGGTGTACTTACACAGTTGTTTGCGGGTCGTAAAATAAAGTGTTACCCTTTTGTGTCAAAAATCATCTTTTGTGTTCAGCAAAAGAAAAAAAAGGTCATACACGAAATTAGAAGAAAGGGAGGTTGAGAAATTTATGACAAAATGCAGAATTTTTGAATGAACTGTTCCTTTAAGTTTGTTGTTTTTCTCAGAAGCAGTGTGTTGAGAATAAATGGTGTGTGTAGCGCTTTAATGACGGCCTGCAGCAGAGCTGATGTAAATGTACGCTACAATCTGCTCCTATTGATTACCTTGTTTTTAACTGTGCCCATTCTCGTTCTCTCTCTCCATCTCTCTCTCTCTCTCTCTCTCTCTCTCTCTCTCTCTCTCTCTCTCTCTCACTCTCAGTCCCTCTGTATTTTCTTTTCACTATTTTACAGAACAGTTTCACAGCAAGCTGCTTTCTTTTCTCTCTGCAATCCAGTATCTGGATGCTTGATTGCACTCCCACTAACATTGGTTATAGTGGTTCACTGTGGTATTTCCAGTTCTGGGCTGTTGTTTCCACTTGTGTGTCATAATCTCTCACTCTTTAAGGTAATTTTAATGTAATTGTGTGTATTTTTTAACAGGATTTCGGCGATGATGGATCATTGTACATTACCAAAGTGACCACTACACATATGGGCAACTACACCTGCAATGCAGACGGCTACGAACAGCTATTCCAAACACACATCCTGCAGGTTAATGGTATGTAATATACAAGCATAATCACTTGTGTAATTAGCAGTCAGAATCAAGTATTCAAGAGAGCATGAATTCAATCCAAAATTTGATATGCACTTTACTGTACAGTAGCTTGTGCAATGTAGTATATGTTCATAGCAAACACTAATAGTACTTGACAACAAGCATTATCATCTCACATGTCATACTGTAGGTGGCATGTTATGTTACGTGCTTTAAATAAGTGAAAAGTACGTATATAGCTTGAGTATGTAAAGTTAATAGCTGAAACATATTGATAAAGTTCACAAGAAGGACAATAACTATGGTGATAATAAAAATATATTTCTAAAAATTGTTCTAAATATAAAAGAATAGCAGAGTCCACACCACACCTATAAAGGCACAAAGAAACGGTTTGTCACTTTCAGAACGAATTTTTTTTTTTTTTTAGCTGATGAACAATAAAAACAATGACAGCCAATCAAAACGTCATCGTCCGCAGTTGTTTAAGCTAATATAGTTGTTGTTATGTACAGGCCTTTACATCTGTATTTAAAAAAAAAAAAAAAAAAAAAATCTCAGCTATGAATAGTATATAAAATAAATGCATCATATATGAATCATAATTTGTAATTGTATTATATATTTTACTTAGGGTAATTATGACATAATTAATCATTATAATTTTTACTTATGTTATAGAGTTTGTAATGCAGATTTATGCATAAAAAATCATATAATACATTATTATTAATAAATAATATTGTTGTTAGAGGAGTACTCTAACATAATAATGAATAATGAATAATTTCTTTTGCATCGTTTTTGTTCTCTGCAGGTGAAACTGTATGATTTTCACCATTCCTTGATCTCCTGCTACCTTTTTCCTTGTTTTTTCTCATTGACACATGAAGCACATGTGCACTAAATAATAAGATCACAATGCGATTGAATGAAAAACAATTGAATTTGCCTCTGGAGCCGTTGCCTAGCAATTAATCGTGGTCAGACCTGGGAGAAAACGAGAAATTAATTAAGTGATGACGCATGTTCCCTTTTTGTGTTTTGAGCCACAAGGGCACTAGTGCTCCCCTTCACCTAATTATGCTTCCTGATGACCAAGAGCAATGGAATTTTGCCTGATCTTTTTAACTTTTTACAATCCACAGTCAGTTTTCTAATGTTTTTACTATTATTACATTCATTTAAGCTAAAACATTTGCATTTCTCTCAAAGAATTTTTAATTAACTTCCTGCGTTAACATGATATAACATAATTGTTGCTTTATTTTTAAGGCAGGGTTTCACCTGATGGTTATCCAAGGCTAAAAAAAAAAACAGGCAAAAAAAGAGAAACATTAATAACCATCTCTGTGATTCGTATGTATACAGTGTGTGTGTGGGTGTCATTATTTGTTTAAGAGCAGTGTTAGCTGTGAAAATGAAAGGGGTCGGACAGGTTCACAGAGACCTGCTGTCTCCGAGATGGTGAAATGGAGAGGAAACTCTAATCGAGGACACTGAAAGCTCATCAGCACCGACGCACACACCGGAGCACTAGAAAAACACACAATTCTCTGTTCCACATGTAATGGACACGTCTGCACAGCAAGAGAGACAAAGACAAACATAAACTAATAAATCTGACTCTCAATTTCACGGAGGAACAAATACACACAGAGAATTTATCCGGTCCAGTGATGGCGGACTTACACACTACCAGGCCAAAACACTTGCTTATTCGCACAGAAAAACAACACAGAGGAAAACAAAGAAAAAGGAGTGAGATTGGAGGAGACGAGGGGCCATGAGAATTTTGTGATAGAGCTGTCAGCTTTGATGTGTTTCACACATGGGGACAATCTCAAGTCGATCCCCAGGTAATAAATACACACAAAGACAGATCAAGGTACACACACACAGAAAGAAAAGTCATTTCGTAGGGATTTTATATCATTTCTAGGTTAAGCTTAGTGACGAATAAGAACGAGAGAGAGAGCTGGTTATGTGATAGTCCCACTTAACCAATTCTGTCACTTGGTTTTTCTAATGTAATTCCCTTGCTATAATTAAAAAAAGGATAAATAAAGGGATAATTCACCCAAAATTTAATTCTTACTGTCATTTTTTGCCAACTTTTATGTGGTTGCTTTTTCCCCCTAAAATTAGTGTTTTTGAAGATTATCCTTGGTATTTTTCTCCATATAATTAAAGTATTAAATATACAAGCATATTCACACTTACTTAATGACCAATTAGAATCAAGTATTTAAGAGCATTTAACTGACATTCAAGAATGACTGTTGAATTTAAGGAGAATCTGATTTATCCTGTTGTTGTTGTTTTCAAAATTAGTGTTTTTTTTTTAATTGTCTGTGCAATTTATATTTACATTACATTTTTTTTCCAAATATTAAAAATGAAAGGAAACCAGATCTGTCAAGCTTTAAAAATTACATTGACACACATCCATATAACATTGTTTTGATGGAATATATTAGGAGAATAATGACTTCCTCACACAAATCTATTTTAATAGCCTCAAAACACTTTTCAGAACACCAAGCAACATTTTTCATGTAATATTAATATTGAAATAGGGTAAAATGTTGATTTTTAACTTTCTTTCTCAAACTCAGAATTACACTGAGAAGATTATACGTTTTCCTACTTTTCCTTCATGCATCATGGCTTTGTTTTTACACGGTGTACTGTTTATCAAAATCTGCTCATTAGCAATGAGCTGATCTTGGAACACCACAAGGACCTGAGCTCGCGATTTTTACACTAAATGATTTCTGCTTTTCATGAGTTGAGTTGAACCCCACAGTCCCAGGGAGCTTAACGCACTTATTTCACTCCCTGTGCCTTGAAGCTAAGCATTTCATTAAATCAACCCCCTTGTGTGCTACAAAATTGGTCACCCTGCCGGGACTATCCAAACATTTCCTTTCATTTCTCCCATTTCCTCACTTAGAGAGTTCTAAATAAAGTAAATAAAGCAAAATTATATATTTATGTACTTTCTTGTAGAATGAAAAAAACTCTTAGTTCCCAAAAGCATTGAATAATAAAACCAGTGCCACCAATGGTCTCTACAATCAACTTGGCTCACAATGATTTGGGGAAACACAGCCCAGGACGTTGACTATTCATTCATTATCATTATTGCTAACACTCTGTCCTTCCCTCTGTTTTTTTTTTTATTCATAGTGCCCCCTGTTATCCGGGTGTATCCAGAGAGCCAGGCGCGTGAGCCGGGGGTCACGGCCAGTCTGCGGTGCTACGCTGAAGGCATTCCCAACCCACAACTCTCATGGCTGAAGAACGGCATGGACATAACCACAAAACTCTCCAAACAACTCACACTTCAGGGTACAAACAAATAACCATAGGAAATTTCTGGTTCTTTTTCTGATTTCTGATTGTAATGCTGCAAATGGCACAGAAATTACATTTAAGGATACAAGCATTTAAACATGTCCTCTCTATAGGACAATTATGGATGTCAATCTTAAAGAATTACACCATTTTCATTCTGGTTCCTTTCATGTAAAGAATCTTTTAGTGCCATTAAGAAGTAATATTTGTGGGGGGGGGGAGGGGGGGGGGGAATTCACTGCCAAATGATGAGATAAAAATCACTTAAAAGTCATTAGCCACTTTTTCACCATTGAGCCACACCATTCTCATTGCTTAACCATTCCATTTCGTGTCGATCTGGCCCGGCCTGTCCGGATATGGTTCTAAACCTCTTTGGAATGTAATACAAATGTGTCAAGACATTACAGACAGTATGAGATGTAAATAGCGACTGTATTGTGGAAGATGATCGGGTATTCTTTTATTTTTGTGTTTACTTTGCTCAAATGGTGCACATTTCTGTTGAGAAACTGTTAGCCAAGCAAAAGACAAGCGACCAATCCTGAGTGGCGATGTCACTACACGCATTATACACAGAATTCCTGGCACAGGATAACTGGACCTCTTCCTTACCATTCAGGTTAAATGGGTGGCTATCTATTCCAGAAAAAATGCATGTGTGAGAAGCGTTAACAGATTTTTTTTTTTAATCAATGCAACCAGTTCTGGAATTCAGGCAATTCCCAACCCTAATGGCAGTAGAATCCTATATTCTCAACAAAAGCCTGTATCTTTACACAAGCAGACAATGATCTTGCCGTTCTGAAGGAGCTTAATATAGCCGTGATGCCTGCTGGTTCCACTCTAGCAGTGATTGACGTGTTTGTCATAATCTAGATCTTTCCTCAATCCCACAAATCCCCCCTGTGGGGCCTCTCATCAACAAATGTTCCTCAAGTCAGCTAAAGCTAACATGACAACTTGAGAACACTATAAATGTTTCAGCCGTTATCAAACACATTTTCATGATCCCATTAGAGGCGCTTGCATGAATGGAGCCGTTTCTTTCACAATCGATTTAGAGAGGTGATGGAGGAAAAGTTCACTTCAGTCCTTCATTCGTTCTTTCTTTTCTTTCCAGCTAACGGGAGCGAGGTGCACATCAGTAATGTTCACTTTGAGGACACCGGCGCCTATACCTGCATTGCGCGTAACGAGGCGGGTGTGGACGAGGACATCTCCTCTCTGTTCGTGGAGGACTCCGCAAGGAAAACGTGTATGTATAAGTCATGATGTGCAGTCCATCCCTCCCTATGATGGAAATTCACTTCCTGTTTCTGTGCATTATTCATCAGACTGAACATTAATAGTTTATAAACTTCAGATAATAATAGTAGGCTACCAAAAAGAGATAAAATAATGGAAGAAGAATCCCAGCGGCCTGATTTTTCAATATTTGTCAGGAGTTTTATGGTGCTCTGCATTGAAATAAAAGGAAAATAAGACTTAAAGAGCCCCTATCATGGACTTTTGAAAATGACTGTTCATGTAGTGTGGAATATAGCTCTAAGGGAATGAAAACATCCAGCAAAGATTTATCAGAAAGTGCACCGTATATAAAGTGATTGTCTTTCAAAAGTGAGAGTCGACTCTGAGTCTATGAAATGAATTGTTTTTGAAACGAGTCATTAGCTGTTACATCGTGACGTAGAGAGCTCATTGGCCGCTCCCAACAACTGCGCGCGCTAGAACACATTCAAATACTTCAGCTGAATCGCATCATGTCGAGAAGACGCTGTGTTCTATATTGCAAAGACAGTTCAGCCGCTTGTTTCCATTGTCCAGGGACGAGCATGTGAAGAATCAGTGGTCAGAGTTCATATTTGCAATGATACCACAACAGTATAGCCCGAACCTTGTGTTCTCATCATTTTAATGACGAATCATTCGCAAGCCAGTTGTTCCTTAAGGAGGGCTCAGTATCCAGTGTATAGACCATTTCACAAGATGTAAACAACACTGGTCCAGAAGCACTTCCTGTTTCAGTTTTTTAACACTACATAAAAGCTGGGATAAAATACAACCAACAGAACATTTAAAACTGAATCAAAAAGTTAAACAAACATCTTTAAGACGTTTTCTTTACATGTCAAAAATAAAGAAAACAGTTACAAACTGAAACAGGAAGTGCTTCTGGACCAGTGTTGTTTACATCTTGTGAAATGGTCTATATGGATCAGGTTCGTCCTCCTCCGAATCACAATCAGTAATATTAATAATGTTTGCTGTTATGTTTTCTCTAGCATGCACAATATAGTTTTACTGGCCCTCATTTATCAAAAGTGCGTACACCACATTTCCAGCGTACACCTTGCGTACACTCAAAACCACGGTGAGTTTGAGATTTATCAATATGGACGTTGGCGTACGGCACGCTCAAATCCTACACCAGCTCAGGAGGTGGTGTACGCACGTTTTGAGTTAGTGAGGAAATGCGCAGAAAAATTCCTAACATCACAAAACGCACTGACAAACTAAAAGATATGATATATTATGACCCACTGTAAAAAAAAAAAAAAAAAAAACAACATAGAAATTATAAACTTCAGTATTTATTTTTGTGTAACGTGGACTTCAATGTTTAATTTGTGTGACTTTACCAAAGCATTTGATTTGTAGCCATATTCCTTCAGTTGCGAGCCCACTTTACCCTGACGTTTCAGGATTATCCCCGGCAGGTGCGCACGGACTGGGTTCGGTACCCTAATGAAAGGCTTTCAATGACCAAAAAATAATTCAGACTAACAAAATAATAAAAAATACATTCTTCTTCTTTTAAATGATAATAATAATAGAAATAATAATAACGACATCCTTCTTCTAAATAACAATCACAAAAATAACAAAAGCATCATTAATGCAAATCATAATAATAAGAAGAATACTATTACAAATTGTCATGCAATTATTAATGTGAATGAATGATACTTCACATCACATCATCACTATTATACATGTGACGTGATTCAAAATTGAATGCTAATTTCAAAAGACGTGCTGTAAAATAATTCACTGTGATAGGTCATTTCGGCTCCACGTCGGAGAAGTTTCTCTTCTTTGCCGTCTTCCGTGTGTCCATGGCGTAAAATAAGGGCGTGGGGGGAGCGGAGACTTGAATATTTAGGGGCGTGTTATTCTAATGACGATCGTTTTCGGCCGCGGGATTTATCAAGGGCAGGCATTGCGTACACCTGGATTTCAAAGGTACGCACATCTTCATAAATCAGGCGGTGAGAGGAGTGTAAGCATAATCTTACACCAAAATATACACCCGTTTCTACGCAAGATTGATAAATGAGGGCCATTGTGTTGTGTGTGTTGTGTACACTCTGCGCAGCTTCTAAGCGGGGTAAAGTTAGTTTTGACTATTTATTATATGACTCCGCTCTATATAATAAGCACTGCCCCTCAAAAGCCCCCGCAATGTGAGTTTCGCCGGGAAAGCTTGCTCTTGACGCGAGTAAGGGACCGTGTGGAAAGTGCACTTTTTCTGACATGTTTGTTCAAACACTATATACAATTTTCAACACTTGACAAGCTATAATCCTGGTTATGGGCGTTCCATTGCCGACAGTCTCTGCCTGCGGTTGTCATTTGACCAATCGCCAACTGACTGGGTCATTTGACCAATCGCCGCAGATTCGCGTCACTTAAAGGAGGTGTTTGGGAAAATGAATCGTCGAACGAATCATTTAAGAGTCGTTGAGCAAATCAGTTAAAAATAAATGCATGTTATAAGACAAATAAAGTGTTTTTTTTATAACATTACAAAGGTCTTTACTGTCACTTTTGACCAATTTAAAGTGTCCTTGCTGAATAAAAGTATTCATTTATTTGTAAAAACAAATCTTACTTACCCCTAACTTTTGAATGGTTGAGTATGTGTTTTTATGTGCTTGTTGATTCAGTCTGGTGGTTCACTGTATTGTAAGCCATGAAGTTCTGGGCAGTGAAGGATTCAAAGGAACGTCAAAGGTCACCATACAGTCATCGGTCATGTTTCTCCTAATCGTTTTGTGAAGGTGTTGGGATGCATAGTTCAGAGGTCTGGGTATTGTAGTTTAGCGAGATGTGACCGCTCAATGCACTGCACAGAAAGAAGGCTAGAGTTTCCTCACAGGTCATACAACCAGAGCCAGTGCTGCCTGTGTTTTCCCTGCATGCATAAAGGCTGACAGTATTCACTACAGCATGCCCACAGATCTGGAGTCAGTTCAACCAGAGCCTTTGATCTCTGCTCCTTCAACTCCTCCAGCTGTCTGGATCAACACTCGCTTTAGACCATCTCATAGATCGATGTCTCTGCGTGTGAGAATATTCCCATAGGCGTCTCGAATCATTTGTATTCTAGAATACATTTTCATTTTGAGAACGTCATACAGGTTTTCATCAACATGCGCAAATGTTTTCATTCAACATCAAAGTGAGCAAATGTTTTCATTTTGGGTTAACTGTTCTTTTAATAGTTCTGATTCGTCTCTTTTGTTGAAACCAGGCTAAAGAGTTGGATTTGATAGTCTGTGGTATTGCTTTCATTGTGAATGAGAGGAACAATCCTGCACTGTCAGCTGGGATTTCCTCTCACATTAGTCCTGGAACGGCAGGTCTGAACTCATAAGCCTGGGATGATACACGGCTCCCTGCTTCCACAGAACGCACTAGCCTGGTAAATACATTTCCATATTGTGCCCAATGACTATATGGATATCAACAAACCTTTGCAATGAATTTGTCCAACTTATTTATGTGAAATATCTTTTCTATACATTATATGCCTGAAAATACAGATGGTTATAAGATGACCATTGATACAGATCAGCAATAGCTAGAACTATAGCAAAGTTGTGTGTTGGCTTTTGAATGTGAAGTAAGGATTGCAGCTTCTGAAAGGTTGCAAGGGGCGTGCGATAAAAGTAATCGTACATCTAAAGGGCAAAACAAGGTGAGGTTGGTGGTTAGCCATCAGTAGTTGGGGTCAGTGCCGTTCTACAGGTCAGCGGGGGAAAACACACCACACTCGGAGGGGAGATAATGATCTTGGTCCCATCCCTCTCTCTCCCCAAGATTTAAAGGTCAGACAGTGTCCCTTGGCCCAGCCACTGTGCTCTAGAGATCATGAAATTAGGTGTCTGTCAAAGAAATTCTTATCTTCAAGGGCCACTGAGTAAAAGTCCATTACAATGGAAGTACACTATCTTCCAATTTTTTTTCTAATGGTATTAAAATGTGAATTTTTTATTTTTTTTTCCCTTCTTGTCATACTTTCCACAGACTGTGTTGCTGAACACTTTGGCAAGGTGTCACTTTCAAATATTGTTGTTTATAAAATCGGCACAACATGTCTGGCTTAACAAATAGGATTTGGCTATTTGCAAATGTAATATATTTTTGCATATAGACTACTGCATTAAAGTTTGGGGTCGACAAGATTTTCAATGTTTTTTTTTTCGAAAAGTCTCTTAACACCAAGGCTGCATTTGTTTGATCAGAAATACAGTGAAAATTAGAAGACGAAGTGAAGATTAAAGGGATAGTTCATTTATATTCATTTAGACTTCCATTATATGACTGATAGACAACAACAGTTTGACCTAAAAATATCAAAATTGAAACTACTGTGGAAACAAAGACACCGACATCTTGGATGCCCTTGAGGTAAGCTAAAACATATCAAACATGAATTTCAAAGTGAACAATCCCTTTAAAACATGAATTTATTACTGCAATAGCAAGGCTGAATTTTCAGCAGCCATTACTCCAGTCTTCAGTTTCCAGTGTGAACAGGCCTTTACGCTGAATATAACAGTCCCACACCAAAAATCTCCCTTGTAAATCGGTGCAAAAACCCTAATTCAATGAATACTTAAGACAGCAAATACTGTCGCAAGGTATACTGCTATCATCAAATATTTGAGTACATCTCGTGTCCTAAAAGATGTATTTGCCATGAGAATGTCAGCAGATGTGTGCCATGGGAGAGGGATTTAAACAGGCGAGTGAATTGAAGCTGGCGTGATGCGAAGCACTCTAGTGTGATTTGTGCTCATCATCTATAAGAAGAAACGAGACAATAAGCCTTTCCTGTCTTGTCAAGGGGAAAAGTACTGGACAAGTATTTAAGGCTGTCGGATAAACACCACCTGTTGCAAACATACAAACAACAGTAGTGCTGATCTCTGTGGTCTCTCGCAGCTGTGTTCTTGTTGGATTATGGGA